CCGCACCAGGCGGTGACGGTAGCCCCGGAGGATGTGGAGACGATGCCGGCTGCCACTTTTCGTGTCTATCAAGACAATGCTCCAAAGTTCAAGCACAACGACGAGCTGACGAGGAGCCGTCAGCGGCGGCTCGAGGAGGCGGGGGCGTTCCGGGCCCCGACCAATGCCCAGAGGTCATTCCAGCCCCAGTACGGGGCGGTGCGGGAGGTTTCGAGTTACGACTCGATGATGGTGCGAGCCACGGATGGTCGGAGACTCTGCTGAAGCATGCGCTTCCGGTGCCCCGCGGATCCGCGGAGCCAAAGGCACGGCTCACTCGGCGGCCGGTACCGCTGGCGGTGCCGGATATGCCAGGTATGCCGGGGGTGCCGGAGAGGTTCAGTGGAGCTTCTATGCCCGGCATGCCGGATATGCCGGATATGCCGGGGGTGCCGGAGAGGTTCAGTGGAGCTTCTATGCCCGGCATGCCGGATATGCCGGATATGCCGCGGGTGCCGGAGAGGTTCAGTGGAGCTTCTATGCCCGGCATGCCGGATATGCCGGATATGCCGGGGGTGCCGGAGAGGTTCAGTGGAGCTTCTATGCCCGGCAAGCCGGATATGCCGGATATGCCGGGGGTGCCGGAGAGGTTCAGTGGAGCCTCTATGCCCGGCATGCCGGATATGCCGGATATGCCGGGGGTGCCGGAGAGGTTCAATGGAGCTTCTATGCCCGGTATGCCGGATATGCCGGATGTGCCGGGCATGCCATGTGCCGGGGGGTATGGACGCACGGACACACCCGGCATGCCCGGCATGCCCGGCATATCCGGCATATCCGGCATATCCGGCATATTCGGCCTGGATCCCGAAGAGCGCTGCCTGGCATCGAAGCATCCCCGGCAGACCCCCCGGCATGCCCGGCATATCCGGCATACCAGAGCGTCCGCGAGCATCGGAGCATCCATCGGCGAGCATCCAGAGCATCACCAGCATCGGCGAGCATCCAGAGCATCGCGAAACAAGCGTCGTGCTAAACGGCGTTAGCCAAAACTCCTAGTACGGTGCATACGCCCTTTTTGGTCGAAGCGCTGGAAATGCGCCTGGCCAGGCGTTCCGTCACCAAAACCGGTGCCGGTGCCGGGGTGCGCA